TCTCTCTCTTTCTCTCTCTCTCTCTCTCTCTCTCTCTCTCTCTCTCTCTCTCTCTCTCTTTCGTGCGAGCTCTTAGTCTCATTGATTTGGCTACCTTAGGGCTGCGTTCTCCGCGCCCACGCGGTAGACAATTAGTATAGAAGAAGTTAGTAAGAGAAGGCCATGCACGGGGTGGTCGGAGATGGCAACAAACGAGAAAGGAGGTACGTCTGGCGCACTCGGCTGAAGCAGCTTGTGGAAACTCCTTGTGTATCGCGAGTAGTCCAACTCCTGCGTGACGCAGCCGGGAGGGTCCCACACTGCGTGGGACCGATGCGCTCGACACCGTTTTGATTTTGAAATGTCCAACTGAAGGACTGCGGCCTCCTCGGCCTCCTATGGGCAGCTACTGGTCCTTCACATGCCCTGCCCCTTGCTAAGCCCTCACCTCAAGATTGCCCACCCTCCCGAACGACCACCAATGTTGAAAGTTGAATTGATGTTGAAGGTTTCAAGGGCATAAAATGCAACCATTTCACCATACCCATGCTTTTTAGGGGTATCGAATGAACTTTCAGGGGCATTTCATTCAAATTTCAACAAATTTCTCAAAAAAAAGTAAAAAGAAAAATGTTTCCACTTCATTCCAGCACCGCGCCCTGCTCAAGCGGAAAGTCATGGGTTCCCCCCAAAACTTCTGAAAGCACTTGACGTGCATCTTCCGCATCTTCCCGATCAGACCCTACAGTAGTCATGAAATTCCTGGAATAGAGAGTGGTGGAAGGAGGCCCTATATCACAAAACAAATGTCCCAACGAAAAAACATGGACAAAAACGACTATCAATGATCACGAGGGTTCACAAGATGTACCCCCCCCTGAACCAGCCATGGCCACTACCTGACCCCCCCCAGGCTTGCCCCTCAAGCGTGCCCCTTATGCTCCCCTCCACGCCTGCGCTTTTGGCCACTTTTCCCCCCCCCCCCCCCCCCCCCCCCCCCCCCGTTCCATATACAACTTCTTCCTCCAGGCTGCGCAGCCCCGCCTCTTCACCATTCACCGAACTCGCCGAATCTTCAAAATTGAGAATGTTCCCTAAGAATGTGGGAAGGTGCGCCGCCATCGTTTTTGTCCTTTTCACATTTGGCCAATGGTCCTCCGAGGCCCGATGTCCTGAATTAAATAAAGCAAAAAGAACTGGGTTTTTCTTTTTTCCTGTCCCTACCCTCCCCCGCCCGTCTTGTTGGCTGTTTAGGGTATTGATTGTCGCCGCCGCCGTTGTAGGGAAGGAGTGGAGGTCGGTTGATTCACATCACATCACATTCGAAGCTGCAAAAGCTGGCGGGTTGGTCTGGCCGTCGGTTGGCCGTCGATCGCGCAGCATCCTGAGTCGTGGGAGCGCTAACGGACGGCGAGGATCACGATCTTGCCCCAATTGCAAAAGTCATCACTAGTTGTGTGTTGTGCGACGAGTACGGCAGGAACTTCGCCCTCGTTTGTCTGGCCACCAGCAGGCCGGCGAGATTGCGGCAGTCTGGTGGTGGTAGCTATCGCTGAGTCGGGTCGGTAGGTGGGCAGGGTGGGAAGCCATAGCCTAGAAGGTCGCAGGGTGCTAAGAGAGGAAGGAAGGAGCGGCTATTGCAGTTGAGCGGCGGGGGAGGAATAGTGGAAATCGTTTGCTGAGTATTGCGAATGCGGCGGCGAAGTGGGCTCACACAGAGAGAGAGAGAGAGAGAGAGAGAGAGAGAGAGAGAGAGAGAGAGAGAGAGAGAGAGAGAGAGGGAATAAGGACGCCGAAGCGTCGCCGCCCTTTCGTGTTTGAACTGTGGTTTCAATTGCGATTAGAGACGGACGTGTGCAGGACAGCAAAGAGTAGGCGGCGCGGGTGGGTACCCATTGTCTCGCGGGTGGGATAGACAGCGGTCGTTATCACCTCTCCGACGTCTCCGGTGAGCTCTCGTCTCTGTTTGACTTCTTTGGCCGACTTTTCTCTCTGTTGCGTTGGCGGCGTCTTCCGCTTGCTCTCTTCTTTCGTTGACTGATTACGCCGCCTTCTCTCTTTGCTGCCGTTCTTCCATGGCCGCCTCGTCCGCTTGCTCTTCTTCTTCCTTGTCCTTTCCTTTTCTTGTCTCTTCTCCTGTTCCTCCGCTCTCTAGGCTATGGTTCACGTCTTCCTGTGCTGCCTTTTCCTCCCTTTTCCTCAGCGCCCTCTTCTCCTCCTCGTCTTATTCCACCCTCTTCTTCGTCTTTCGTCGTCTTACTTCTCCCTCTCCTCCCTCTCCTCCCTCTTCTCCCTCTTCTTGCTCTTCTCCCCAATCCTGCTCTTCCTCCTCTCCGTCTCCCTCTTCATCCTTCTCTGCTATTTTAGCTCTCTACTCTGTATCCTGTCTTCCCTTGACGTCTTTCCCTTCGGGTCCTCCCCCCCCCTTTCCCTTTCCGCATCTCCATCCTCTAGTCGACTGTTTCCTGTTTCTCTGCTTCTTCAGCTCTCTAGTTTGTGTCCCGTCTTCCTTTGCCTCCTCGTTTTGGTTGTCCACTTTTCCTTCTCCCGTTCTTTTTCTTTTCTCCTTTTCTTCCTCTTCATGCTGTTCCTCCTCTCTCTCTCTCTTTCCTCTTCTTCGTCTTTTCTCTTTTTTGTGTGTTTGTGTGTGTGTGTGTGTGTGACTTTTTTTTGGTGTCATTTTTGGTTCTCCTCGCTGCAGTCGTTTCCTATAAGTCGACAAGATGGTGCATGTGATTGACTCGACGTGATTTCCCTCGATAACGGTCGTTTTCGCGAGTAGCGATTAAGCATTTTTTCCTTTTCGGTCTACTGTCTATTGCGCATTTTTTCCTTTTCGGTCTACTGTCTATTACTCAGCTTTTTCTTTTTTTGTTGAAGGGCAATGGCCTTGAGCTATCGTCATCGAACAGAGCGGCCCGAGGTAACTCGTTACGATTTTTTTTATAATGTTCACATCTGATTGTATGGATTCGAAATCGGGTCTATATCTCAACAGTCAGTGGGTCTATCAACTGAGCTAGGCCCGTTGGTATTCCTCAGTTTTTCCTTTTCTGTCCCTTCTTGCTCCTGTTTCTCGTTCTCCTTCGTTTATTGCACTGAATGAGATATACATGAAGGGCCTCGCTCCACTTACTCTCGACACTCACAAAAGACTATTCGTCAGTTTTTCCTTCTCTGTCCCTTCTTGCTCGTGTTTCTCGTTCTGCTTCGTTCATTGCACTGAATGAATGAGATAAATGAAGGGCCTTCCTCCACCATTCTCGACATGCACAAAAAGGACATAAATCATAATAGCCGCGTATCTTTCCAGGTTCTTCGAGAAGATTCACTCTTGTTTTTCACATGTCTAGTAGAGTTTTCACATGTCTAGAGAAGTGGAGCGAGGAGGCCCAAAGTACTATACATTGGATAGAAGAGGGCCGAAGGGTCAGCGACCAACGTGGTCGTCTTTCAAGTCTGTCGTAATTTTGCACTGAATGGATTCGAAATAGAGTCTGTATCTAGTCGGGGGTGAAGATGGTAGAGGCAATCTTTTGTTGCCTTCCATTTTGGTATCTCTCCTCCCATTTGGGTCAACCCAGCTATCGGTAGTTGATCAACGCAACGACCGGTAGGTAGGAGACACCACGGTAACTTCGATGGAGAACCCTCTAGTTAAACGTAGGTCATGAGGTTCATTTGTGTGGTGCCATGAGCGGCACTTGCTTTTCATCTCTTTCTCTCTCTCTCCTCTCTCTCGCTCTCCTCTCTCTCTGTCTCCCCTCTCTCTCTCTCTCTTGCTCTTTGATTAGGTCTTACTACCGTCTTCCTCCGGGTAAAGTCATGGGGATTCGATCTTTTGATCATACAGACAGGTCTTGCTACCGTCTTCCTCCGAATAGAACGCGCAGTCACTAACGGTGCACCTAGACTGAAAGTTGGACCGAATACGGCTGCAATGACCTTGCGTTCTATTCGGGTGAAATGGGTCTGGAGTTGGGTTCGTCGAACCAAGGTGGTTCTGAATTTTGCTAACGTTAACCCACTACCGTCTTCACCCGCATACAACACCCGGTCATTATAGCTGTATCTGGACTGTTAGGTGTACCAAATACAGCTTTAATGACCGGGCGTTTTATTCGGGTGAAGGCGGTAGCGTCTCTCTAAGGGAACCGGTCATTATAGCTGTATCTGGACTGTTAGGTGTACCAAATACAGCTTTAATGACCGGGCGTTTTATTCGGGCGAAGGCGGTAGCGTCTCTCTAAGGGAATACAGACCTCGCGCTTCACCACTTTTCAGACATGACGAGGACTGAAAAATGGCGCATATAACGTGTACCTACCGTCTTCCCTCGAACACAATGCACGCTCATTTTGGCTGCATCTGGTCGGAAATATAGCTTGTATACATTTATTTTTAGGGTGCGTTATGTTCGGGGGAAGACGGTAGTCAGCTTGTATGTAGTGTTGCATTTGTCAGTTTCCGTATTTGTTAAGTAGTGAGGCTCAGTGTAGATTTAATTATCATTACAAAAAAAGAATAGAATATTAGTATTTTATTTTTTATATATATTTTTAGTAATAAAAAATGAGTAATGGGAGTCGGAGAGGCTGCGCGTTCGAATGAGAACGGGCATAACGAACCACGAACGAAGCAGCTTCTCAGCGCAGCAGCACTCGCAGGCTCCTCTTTCTTTTAAGGCCGCACGCGCTTTTTGTCTTCTTAGGCTGCACGCACCAAGTCTTTCTTCCCGCTGTCCTGCGCATAACGCGCAAATCTTCAGCAAACTGCGTTCTGCATTCGTGTATGCATCTGGGCTCAAAACTCGCCGAGATGCATTCAAAATGTTGGCGGATGGCCAGCGCAGTAGCACTCGCACGACGCCTCCTTTTTCTTCTCAGGCCGCACGCGCCTTTTGTCTTCTCAGCCTGCTCGGACCAAGTCATTCTTCCCGCTCTCCTGCGCATAACCCGCAAAGCTTCGCCAATCTGCGTTCTGCATTCCTGTATGTATCTGGCCTCGAAACTTGCGGAGATGCATTCAAAATGCTGGCGGATGGCCAGCGCAGCAGCACTCGCACGCGTCCTCCTTTTTCTTCTCAGGCCGCACGCGCCTTTTGTTTTCTCATCCTGGACGGACCACGTCATTCTTCCCGCGCTCCTGCGCATAACCCGCAAAGCTTCACCAATCTGCGTTCTGCATTCCTGTATGTATCTGGCCTCGAAACTTGCCGAGATGCATTCAAAATGTGTTTTGTATTTTACAAAAAATCCTTGTTGTTTCTTTTTCGAAGTAGGGCAGTGCATCTTCTTCCCTTGTAGCGGAAGATTCATTCGTAGTTTGCATATTTTTTGGCGAGTAATGGAGCGAGGGGGGGGTCAGAAATGACCGGGTAGGAGGAGAGCACGTGGGACGTGACGGAAGAAATGACGTGGTCTCGCTCCCCCCAACTCACCGAATGTGCAAATCTCCTCTGCTTTTCGCCAATCAGGAAACTACCGAAAGCATGTGCAGAGTCTTCCGTCCTTTCTCCTCTCGCCACGTGGCTGGTGGGAAAACGATTTTTCTCACCAAATGTGCAAAATCTTCTCTGCTTTGTTCCTGAAGAGGAAACCACTGAAAGCGTGTGCAGAGAATCTTCCGTCCTTTCCGTTCCTAAAGAGGAAACCACCGAAAGCGTGTGCAGAGAGTCTTCCGTCCTTTCTCCTCACACCATGTGGCTGGTGGAAAAAAAATGAATTTTCTCACCAAATGTGCAAAATCTTCTCTGTTATTTTCCGAAGGAGGAAACCACCGAAAGCGTGTGCAGAGAGTCATTCGTAAATCAGGAGGAATTCTATTCCGTCCTTTTTCCTCCCAGTACGTGGCTGGTCCAAAAATGACAATGAGGCTGCAGAAATGATGAGGGGGAAGTGGGCCAAGATCGGCGAAAGGGTGAAAGGGAAGGGATCTGACCGGTGAGGTAGAAGGGGGACGGAATTAAAAAGGGGGGGGGGGAGGAGATATGAGGACAGCAGAGAGAAAGACCGGCAGGAAGAACAAATCACTATTGAAAAAGGGGGGGGGGTGTGATTGAAAAGTGTAAGTCGGGCGAAAGACGAAATGCCTAGGAGGAAGAAGAAATAACTGTTGTCTTCTCACAGAAATATGGTTATGCTCATTGCAGCTTTATGTTCAGGGAATGGTGTTTGTCATTTGTATACATATACGCACTGTTTGATGATATGTATAGGTAGAAACGTCTCCTGATGAGTCGGTGAAACTTCCATGAAAGTTTTTGAAAGCCCCTGGATTGTTGTCCTATTCTCCCTCTCTGCCTACCTTCTTCCCCCGAATACAACGTACGGTCATTATAGCTGAATTTGGACTGAAAGATACACCAAATTCAGCTATAATGACCGTACGTTGTATTCGGGGGAAGAAGGTAGGGCAGTTTGTTTGACGTGTACACGTATAAACATGTCAATGTAAACATATAAACATATGTATGGCCTTGTACACGAGGTTCTGAACAGGGGGAGTCTTGTAAGAAAGAAGATAAAAAATGAATTGATATCTTTTTTGTTTCCTTTGTTTTTTTTCGCTTTTGCGCTCTGATATTCATGTGACGATATATATGCGTATATGTCAGAATTTCTTTGTGACGATATATATATATATATATATATATATATAGGCGATATACCACGACTTCGCTAGTGCCCTGCTACGGTTTTCTCCGGTCAGGTCGAGCGGCAGTGGTTGGGGCCGTCATCACGCGGCCATGCTGTGCCTCTAGTGTGCCAGGGCCGTGTCTAGAGTGAATTTTTTGGATGTGACAGAGCTTTGTTTCGTGGGTGTATTGCTGTCTTGTGATGGGGTGTGAACGGGTAGGCTGTGCAGATTTGCATCTGGTGTGGGCGAGTGATAGTCTGCTTTGATTATCGTCACGAGTACCTTGAGGGCAGTGGTTGGTGGTCCCCACCTCCTCGGAGGGGTATCAGTTGTCGGGCAGTCGTTGGTGGACAGAAGGTTAACCGACCTCCCAATTTTCACCCCCATTTATAAGAAAACCAAAGGGTCATTTTAACCATACTTCACAGCAATCTGTGGAGTGCACTTCTTACTAACTTATTGTAAAAAAGAACCGAAAAAGAAAAATTAAAGACATATAAAACAGCAAGCCAAAAGTGCAATTTCATGAAATTTCACCAACATTTTAATTTGTCAATTTTCACGATTTTCACCACTGCACAAAACAAACATCTCCAGGAACCCAACAAACCACAAATGGTTAACAGGTACCCCCACTTTTCACATACAGACCTTGACCAAAAACAAAACCGGGCAAAAAAAAAACCAAAAAAAAACGAAAAAACATTATCCCCACTGCACCTTTCAGGGTGGTGAAGGTTACCCTGGGGTTAGTCTGCTTTGATTCTCGTCACAGGTACCTTGAGGGCAGTGGTTGGTGGTCCCCACCTCCTCAGAGGGGTATCAGTTGTTGGGCAGTCGTTGGTGATGCTTAACCACAGCTGGGGTTAAGGTGGATTATCACTTAGTGTAATCAGTTATTAGGGGATTCTGCAGACTGTTGAGGGTTCAGCCCTCTACTGATTGACGAGTCGGTGAAACTCCGAAGTAAGTTTTTTGTTTGCCAAACATTTTCCAAGTTTTGTCGACAAGTTTTAAATTTTTATACGCGCATTTTATTTATCTCAGTTTTTTTCATCAAATCGCAATTGCGGATAACGGGAGTCGAACCCATATCCCCTGCTTGGAAGGCAGACAATTTACCTTAGTACGGTTTATCGGGCAGTTCTGTTTGACGACGTATAATTTTCTCTCTTATTATTAATTACATGTCCCCCACGGTTCTTACAATTGCTTTTTGTCTTTTAATGTGCAGGATTTATCTTACCCCGGTTCTTACAATTGCTTTTGTCTTTTAATGTGCAGGATTTATCTTACTTACCTGGAGTGGAAAGGGACGAGCTCAGAACTCTGTGAAGTGCTCTTCAGAGACTTATTATACAGATGGAAGGTTCTATAGGTAAGAAGATAGAGTATCCTGAAGCTGATGTGGATTACCTTTTCGGTTGGTTTATTGGGATATTATTCTGTGCGAGGGAATAACTTGGGACCCTTTTTTTAAAAAAGTTAATTGTTCTGGCAATTTTGTTCCTTACGCCGTTATGTATTTTTTCTTGTTTCGTTTCTGCTACTGAAGTCTTATGACGCGATAGAGCATTCCTGAATCGGATGTGGATTACCTTAACGTCGGTTTATTTAGTGGTAGATTATTCTGTGCGAGGGAATAAGTTCGACCTTTTCACCCTTACCCTTTGTTCTGGCAATTTTGAAATCTGTTCCTTTCAGCCTTACCCTTTGTTCTTGTTTCTTTTCTGGTACTTAAGTCATGTGCCGCCCGGTGTCTGAATTTGACATGGATTAATTTTTTCCGTTTTGTTGTTGTGCAAGGGAACTGTGTGGAGTTTGTGGACGTCATTATATAGTATATACGGCATTATAAATATGTACCTGATCTGCAAACCGTTTTGTTATTTGTGTTTTGCTGTATCAGACCCCTCTTGTTTCACATATCAGACCCCTGTTGGCGTTATTTGTGTTTTGCTATATCAGACCCCTCTTGTTTCACATATCAGACCCCTGTTGGCATTTAATTCCGACCTTCCTGGCGGTTATGTCGGCGTTTTTGGAACCGAAATCATAACGCCGAAATTACGACCAGGAACGTCGAAGTTTAATGCCCGAAGGAGTGAAACCAAAAATGTTTTTTAGGTTACTATTAACTGTATTAATTCTTGCATGTACTCGTCTCATTGTTTTAAGGAGACGGAAATAAATTTAACGTATGCTAAGAAAAGTGATTGATGCTGCTGTTTAGGCAAGTTGTGTCTTAGTCCAATCCTTTCTTACTGCCAACTTAAAGTCGAAAATGCTATTAGGTTATTCATGTGGAAAACTTGCTGATCAGGATGCGGTCAGACATGCTGCTCATCATTCGGTCTCTCTCTTGTAATAATTAATAACGGGATCACTTATAGTAGGTTATATATATCTGCTTCTGTGAGGCTGACGTGTGATAGAGTGAAACTTCTTCTTTGCTTCCTTTGTTGCAGAATTAATCTCTGTTACATCGATTTCTTTGATCTACGTAGGGTGATGCGGTAGCTGCTGGTGGAATGGCGTTATTCACCCTTTGTTTGTGTGTGTTTATTCTGCCTGTGTGTGTGTGTGTGTGCGCGTGCACGTGAGTGCGTTCTGTGCGTGTGTGCTTGTGCGTGTGCGTGCGTGTTTGTTCTGTGCGTGTGTGCCTGCGTTTGTTCTGTGTGTTTGTTTGTGTGTTTGTTCTGTGCGTGTGTGCCTGCGTTTGTTCTGTGCGTGTGTGTGTGTGTGTATGTGTGCGTGTTCGCATTCTGTGCGTGTGCTTGTGTGTGTGTGTGTGCTTCTGTTCTGTGCGTGCGTTTGTTCTGTACGTGTGTGCCTGCGTTTGTTCTGTGTGTGTGTGCGTGTGTTTGTTCTGTGCGTGTGTGTGCATGGACGTGCGTTTGTTTATTCTGCATGATTTTGTGTGTGTATGTGTTTGTTCTGCATGTGTGTGTGGGAGGGGGGGCTGCGTTGATTGATTGTGTTCGTCTCGTCTTTGTTTTCATTTTGTTTGTGTGCGTGTGTGGATGAGTGTGTGCGTGCTTGTCTGTGTGCGTGGTGGCGTTTGGATATGGTGTGGCGGGATGTAATCATTTGTTTGCGGTCTGGCTATGTGTCCGTTTTCCTCTGTGGTCAATTTGTCTTTTTCTGGTATTCAAACAGGTCAAGATAGGAGAGGAGCAGTTCAACCACCAAAGCGGACACGGAGAGATTATGCTGAATACGGTGTGTATGTTTCTCTTGTTTGAGGACAGTTTCCCGATCGGTTCAATGTTTGAAGGCCACATCTCTTTTTCTTACAAGTGTTGGAAGCTCTGTGAAGTTTGTGAAGTTCATGAATTTAGAAAGCTACTAGCAAGTCGAGGGCAGGTGGTGTGGAATGCTGATTGGTTTTTGAATGCACTGATTGACCGGTTCGTTGGTTTGTAGATCGGTTGGTCGATCTGATGCTGTTGATTTATGAGTTTGATTTGTTGGATGATGATTGATAAGTTCATGGAATGATCTTGTTGTTGGAATGACTAGCTAGCGAGCAATGGGTATATAGATTGGTGTCTACTTCTCTCCCGAACACAATGCACCCCAATTATGGATGTATACAAGCTATCTTTCCAGTTTGATGCATTGTAACGAGTGTGAATGACTCACACTGGAGACATGGATCTGGATGCATTGATTGCTTTGTTTCTTGGAATGCATTGACTAGCAGGTCCTACTGGCAGGAACACGATTGGAAAAAATTCCGAAATTGTGGCCAGGAACGTCAGAGTTAAATGCCCCAAGCGGCAGTTGGTCAAATGATTTGCTGCTATCGATTTATAGATTATTTGAGTCGTTGAATGATTGATGTGTGTATGGACTGATGGCAGCAATGGATTGCTGCCTAGCTGGGTGTTGAATGTGAATTGATTTTGAAGTCGCGGGGACCGGAGACATGATGCCTGTCTTGTGAATTTGCTCAATTCAGTTGTAATCAAGTTGCTGTTTGTGGAGCAAAGAGCTTTATTTGCAATATGGAATTATGGATTAGACAGAGGCATGGATGGGAGGTAAGTCTGCAGACTAGATATGTAGAGGAGGGGATGATTGTAGACGTGGCCAGGCGAGAGTGAGCTGACTGGGAGACATGTTGGGAAACGAGCTGGGAAGTAGTGTGTGCAGGAGAGAGGCGAGTGATAACCTGTTGCAACCGAGAGGCATGTAGTTGAGGGTAATTCAAAAAGTGATGTGCAGAACTTGATGTGAAATAAGATTGGCTTGTGTAATAACAGAAAGCTGGGTATGGCTTCGATCGAACTAATGTTTTGCCATTCTCCCCCAGTATGTAGGGAATATGCGTAACTCGGACAAACTGAATTTTCCTGTGATTGAATGTATGTTGTGTGTGTGTGCGTGCGCTTGTGTTTTCTATCTGTGCTGTGCTTGTTTGTGTTCTGTCGTGTGTCTGTACGCATTGTGGTGTTGTATGTTGTGTTGTTTGTGTGTATGTGTGGTGCGGTGCGGTGTTGTGTGTTCATCGTGTTTGGTGTGTTGTATTCTGTGTGTGTGGTGTGGTGTGTTTGGTGTGTTGTATTCTGTGTGTGTGGTGTAGTGTGTTNTGGCGTGTTGTGTGTTCATCGTGTTTGGTGTGTTGTATTCTGTGTGTGTGGTGTGGTGTGTTCGTCGTGTTTGGTGTGTTGTATTCTGTGTGTGTTATGTTCTCTGTGTGTGTGTGTGTGTGTGTGTGTGTGTGTGTGTGTGTGTGTGTGTGTGTGTGTTTACGGACTCAGCAGAGCAACAGGTGCCTGCGGATAGAGTAGGATTGTATGCTGCTGCACAAGCTCGGGGGAGAGGGCCTGCTGAAATGGCTGCGGCATATGGCCCTCGAGGAGGAGAGCTGGATTACGAGCCTGTTCCCCGTGCTAGCATGCCAGGGCGATGGCGTGAAGATGGCATGGGACATCCAGCGGATATGGTAAGTGAATGCTTCCGCGTTTTTGTAAGAAGTTTGAAAATGTTTCCGCTTTGGTGAATGAAGCCGGTCGACGCCTGAACATTATGCAAAATGACTTCCTGGTTTGAATATGGAATCTCTTGTGCAACAACATTATGATTAGGGAGAATCCATTTTGAGGAAATCGAAGGAAGATCATTGTTGTCAGCATTAAGATCGCACTCTAATTAGATGAATCACTAAAATGAGAGGGAGAGCGATCACAGTTTCTTCTGATCTTTTTTCCTTCTGTTTTAAAAATGTTGAAAGTGTTTTATTCTTTTCATCTAGTTCAATGTGGATTCGAACTCAGGTCCTTACTTCAATAGTCTATGGGTGTACCCAACTGGAATAGGCGCGTAGGCTCATTGATTTCATTTGACCCTTTGAGTAAGTTCCAAATTCATTGGTCAATCAGCAGGCTCGCCATAGTTTGATCGAAGAGGAGCCTCAGAGACTACAAGCGAAGCAACTTTTGTTTTGCCGCCTCTTAGTGCTGTGCAAATGGCATGGCAAGCGCCGTAGCGTAAGCTGGCAGGAAAGTTGAAGATATAGTCCATACCATGGATAAATTCATGGAGAAAGGCATCACATGTTCACTGTAGGTCTAGACGTAGATTCTTCGGAGTCGGGGGGAGCTGTAAAGTTGTCTCTTACCACTGGGCTATTTGCTGGGAACCCCTATGAATCTTGGTCGATGGAAGAACGCTAGGCCCGGGTGTACTGGTGGTTTAACCTTTTTGTTAGCCCATTCTCTTTGCTGATGTCAATGATTTATTTATTAAATTTTCCTGGTTTGCTGCTGTTGATTCTATTGCAGTTGGCTTATGGTCCAGGTCCTGAAATGGGCCTAGGTGGGCCCGCCCGCAGAATGAGCCTCGAGGGCGCTGGAATTGGTATGGGCATGATGGGCCCACGCGGTATTGTGGAGGACGGTCTGATTCCCACCCCTGGTAGGGAACCAGCGCTCAGTATGCGAAGCATGGGAATGGAGATGGGAGGCAGAGTTGCCCCACTGAATGGGTTAGGATTGGAGCCGGAGCGGGGGCTTGGAGCAATGAGAGGGGCCATAGGGGTGGAGGCGTTGCCAGAAAATGCGTGTTCGACTTTATATGTTGATGGAATTCCCATCGACTGCAGCAAGAGGGAGGCAGCCCGTATCCTGCTGATATTCTAACTGTTTTTTCTTTCGTTTAGTGTTTTGCTGATTTTGGTTGTGCTAGCTATCTTTGTGTCTGGGGCGTGGTGCATGTTTTCCTTTTCCTTCTTTTGTTTAACAATTGTTTGGCGTTGAAACTTTCTGTGTATGAGCATGTTTTCCTTTTCCTTTTTTTGTTTAACAATTGTTTGGCGTTGAAGCTTTCTGTGTATGATGGTTGTGACCAATTGACTGTTGCACGGATTGTGTGTCTGGGAGCAGCCCCTCTTCACCCTCTGTTCATCTGCCTTCGACGTATGTGATTTATGATCTAGCCCAATTGACTGTTGCATGTATTGTCTGGGTCTGGGACCCGGTGGTCACTTCTCTGTCGATCCACGTATTGTCCGTCTCCAGGACCCCCTCTTCACCCTGTCTATCTGTCTATATCGGTCTATCTGTCTATCTGTCCATCTGTCTATCTGTCTCTATGACCCCCTCTTCACCCTCTGTCTATCTCGCTTCTATCCGTCGATCTGTCTATCTGCGTATCTGCCTGTCTGTCTTCTATCTCTCTGTCGTTGTCTATTAATCTGTCTGTCTTCTATGTGTCTGCTATCTGCCTTCTGTCTCCTGTTGCCTATTTGGCTTTATTGTCTTCTATCTGTTTCTCTGTCTACAGAGCGTGTTCTACTGGTCATGGAAGGAGCGCTGCTCCCCTTGGCTCTGCTCCACATGAATACCTTACGCGCATGCTTAGTTTGTAAATGGATGAAATGTTGGGCATTGCAGGAGAACCTCACTGTATCTCTTGTGTCCTCCTTTCACCCTCTGTGCATACGACATCTGAATTCCCTCTCTCTCTCTCTCTCCCTCTCTCTCCACTTCTCGTGGAAATGTTTCTGCAGCCGTATATCTCTCTGTGGGCTGTGATTAGTGGAAAGCAATGAATGCATTTCGTATGGACTGTGCATCAAGTAGATGGCAGAGTGGTATGGTGCCTGACTGTGCTTGACAAAGAACGGAGGACTGTGTACTGGAACGGAAGGAGTGTGGTGGATAGTGTATCTATCAGACCGTCGGACATGCAGGAAGCCTTGTGATGTACTGCAGGGGTGTTTGTTTTTCTTTCCTGGTTTCTTTGCGATTGTATTGTCCTTTGCCCTTTTTCAGATTGAAATGAATGGCAAAGCTGGGAGTCCCTGGCGTTTGGGTTCTCTAGGACCTCGGAAAGGGTCTCTTTGTGTAAATTAGAAGATTGTGTGGTGGGATTGTCCTTAACTGCTGTTCAGACATCTTTCGCCCATTCATTGGGTTCCAGGGTCTGCGACTTGTGCACAAGGACTCGAAGAAGGTAGGTTTTGTTTCACTTCATCCGACTGTGAATGCTTTGATTGGCTTTACGGTTGACCTTGCAATTTGCCGCGTAGCGGGTTTTTATGGGATGCAAAGAGTTTGAAGGAGCTCTAGGGTTGTACTTGCAATTCGCCTAGTAGCGGACGTTTGTTGGGATTGAAAGAGTTTGAAGGCTTTGTCCCTCCTTTGAAATTCAGGGCAGATGGTCTCTGTGTGGTGCTGCAGACACTGTCTTTCCGTCTATGAAGTACTTCTATTTGTGGAGTTTGGCCTAGTGTCCAAAATGGGTAATGCATTTTGTCAACTTTCATCAACTTATTGAGTGATTTTCATTGAGTGATTTTCATTATATAGTTTGGCAAGCACACGCATTGAGTGATTTTCATTATATAGTTTGGTCATTGAGTGATTTTCATTATATAGTTTGTCAACTTTCATCAACTTATTGAGTGATTTTCATTGAGTGATTTTCATTTCTTGATTCAGCCCAGGGCCCAGTGACTTCAGTGCGGGGAACAGGCGATCTGACTGTTCAATGGAGCACTGTGGCATCTACGAGAGCGTCTCCCTGTGGTCACCCCGCTTTCTGTTCAAGCTCTGTCCGTATCATGCACTTTTTCTTTGTCATTTTTGGGCTAAACGATTATCGAACACTGTTTCCAGCTTACAATGGAATAGTCTCCAGCTTATGAATGGACAGTTTCCAACTTGCGATTGCATTCATGGTCGTTTCTGTGCACAGAGGCCACTTAGGGCGAGAGAGAGAGAGAGAGAGAGGGGTGGGGGGAGTTGTTTTGTGCTCAACGTGGTTGGTGCTTAATTTCCTGTTGTGTGCTCCAGGGTGGAGGAGAGAAGATTGTCCTCTGCTTTGTGGAGTTTACGAATGTCCAGTGTGCTGCAACAGCTCTTGAAGCCTTGCAAGGTAGGATTTCCCTGACGACACTCATCTGTGGTTTTCTGATGATTGCTTTATTTCCTCATGTCTGAGGTGTGTGGCCTTCAGCATTGTCACTGATACATGTGTGAAGAGTGCGAATGATGGGAAATGTGGTTTCTGTGATCTGTTTTGTTGGGGGGAGCTTGCTTCCGTTTTCTGGGCGTTTGCCGCTGTCGGCAGCCAGCCAAAATTATGCAGAGGTTCACGGGGTATATGTTATTGATAAAACAGACATGGTGTATGGCAATTACTGTCTTCATCCGAATAAAACAAACTGTCATTTTTGCTGCGTCTTGTCTGAAAGTCGCATGTTCTCCGTGTAAGCTTTGCCAAGCATCATCGAATTTGGGGGGAAGGTGACAGACAGTCTGTACAACATGCTGAGTACCATGACACCTTGCAATCTCGCTTTTGATTGTAACCACAGGGTACAAATTCGATGAATCCGATCCGGAGTCGTATGTTCTCCGTGTAAGCTTTGCCAAGCATCCAGGTCCACGAAGCGCTGCAGAGCGCCGAAGGGGCGGCCCGGATGGCTATGAAAACTCAAGGGGAAATGCACGCTGAGTGTTCATGAGCTCAAATCAAGGTATGTTAATTCCTCTTTTGGTCAGTGCCTCATGCTGTAGTTGTCTCATGTGGTAATGCTAATGCTTTGGTTTTCCTGCTGCTGCCCACTTGAGAGTTCGAAGTGTATCACGAGTTTGTTTTGTGCACCCTACCCTTGTGTCGAAATGGAATGTTCTTGGCAATGCACATGCATAAATTATCTTCAACTCCACCTATTCTATTGAGACGAGGCATCTGCTGATTGCCCTGTGCTTACGGTGCCACAGCCGGTGTATTCTTGTGTTTCTTCTTTCGAGTAAGTGGCAAATAGGATGAGTGAAGGGGTATGTCTTCTAGTCTTTTTTTTTTATCTAAGGTCAGGATCATAAACGTAGTGGCATAAACGTAGTGGTAAACCACCGGTACTTCCGTAGGTCGTGCCCTTATACAAGCCACGATTTCAGGAAATGTGCGGCCACTACAGGAGCGCCCAAATTCATCCGACTAGAAACGTTTCTACTATATTTTTTTTGGCGGCCGATAGCTGGGGCAAGTACTGGTGGTTGAAATATGGCCAGGTGCAAAATCTGTAACTGGCTGTGTGCTTAGTGACGGTACATGTTGATGTTGCTGATTTGGAAATCAGAATGTTAAATCAGTATGTACCTTTTCCTGCCAGAGTGATTGAGGAAACGAGAGGCCTACTGCGGCGAGCATCGCAACGCTTTTCCTAAGGGATTCACACAAGTGCCGCCCTTAGACAGTTGTTGATGTTGGAGTGCTTGTGTGGGTGCTCGGTTCTAATTCTGCGCATTGTTTGAGTCTTAACTCTGCTACTTCTTCGGTGTTGACAGACGAAAGAGATGTCCGTGAGTTTACCCCAAGGGATTATCTCCCCCCCCCCCCCTCGAAGTCAATACTATCGGATCTGATCCAAGTGATAGCCGCCCTTAGACCCCAAGAGTTGTGGTTCTGATATGCATGTAGATTTTGGTCTGAGATTACGAGCAGTTCTATATTTTCAGGGTACACTTAGGCTACTTTCGTGAATGAGTTGGACCACAGCTAGTGCACGACCTGCGTGTATATCACCGGCCGGAATGAAGCCCAAAGCGTAGTTGAAAAGTCAATTGTGTGTCCTCGGTCCACGTGTATAGGTGGCGTGCTGGGGAATGAATCGAGGCGTGGTGAAACTGCGTGTACTGAAACATTACTGCGAAGAACCAGTGCCTCTGATATGACGAATTGCTCATTACTTCCCGCCTTCGTATTCTGCTTTCTGCACTTTTCTGTTCGCCACAGCAAAGGCCAACGAATGGCTAGTGCAGAGCCTGTTCTTTTCCCTGTCCTTGAACCACTAGTACATGCCAGCCATCGGCCGCGGGCCCCTTTCTGAGGCCGCCCGCCATTGACTTATTTTATCGATGGTTTGCGAGCCTCCAAAATTTTAGGAGAGGTGCAATCGGACTGTTAATCTGGCTGGGGCCACGTACATGTCTGCTAAATAACGCGTGGAGTGCTTTGCAGATAGCGCACCTGATGTTCACACAGGATGCGTGTTATTTTTACCGTTTGTTACGACGAAGGACGAGAGGGGCCCTAAAGTTGAACTACTCTCAGTGATGGCTGTACGATCCTTGGCACTGGCACACAATAGGCCTGAAAGTGCATGTGGTTTGTTATTCCTGTTGGAAAATTTCCTGAAATTTTGTAGTGGACTTCTGTCACACGGCCACCGTTATGGGCATCGGTTTAGAGGACGATTTTGTGTCCAACCTGTCTATTGTTTGTCCACTATATGACATTATTTCCAAACCGTCAATTTGTTTGCTATATAGAGACGATCGTGTTCCCAAGTAGTCAATTCCCCTTGATGTTAAGTCTTTCTGAATGCTGGCATTTCACTATGGAAATGTTCAAAGATGTTGTATAAGCCGATCCTGCCGTTTTGTAGCCGCCCTTCTGAGGAAGCGAAGATTTTGGCTTTGGACTCTGTTTCATTCCGTGTGGTCCCGTCCTGTTCTTTACTTTGTATTATCCTTCCCTTCAGCTGAAGATGTGTCTCTTCTATTCCATAGTTGGTTCTGACGTTGTCTTGTGTTTCTATTTGAAGTGTATCATCCACCACTTGTTTTGTAGCCCAACGATCTCGCAGTAATTAATGAAATCTGTACGAGCACTTAAAACAACCTCCTGCCGATTGAAAGTCGGCACTTTGGCCGTTCACAAACCGGAGTGAAAGGAATGTGATTTCTGTGTGAACTCTATCATCACTCTCTCCGCTTGTTCAAAAAATAGCATCTGCTCTCAGGAAGTTTGCCGTGTTCCTTAGGATGTGGACTCTGTTCCCTATGCTGACTGAATTGACGGTTCTGTTCATCAATTCCCCGAGATTGCTCCGTGGATGGTTCTTCAACTTTCTCCCATGCCTTACCGAGGGAGTGTTGACTATCTTTTGCGGTTTTTGTGTGGCATTGTCTCCACCTCGGTCTAGACATCGTAAACACTGAGGCATCGACATTCAAGGTCAGCAAAGGCGATGCCTGACCCAGTGGTCTCCCTTGCACCATGGAGGCCCCATCATCGCCTTTGTTGTGGGCAGTGCGCTCACAGCTGGTAAGCCCTTGTGCAGCTGAGATGCGTTGTCTGTCGGTCAGTGTCCTTCGTTAATGACCCGTTCCTTATTACCTACTGCATTTTGTGTACTCTCCCCTGAAGAGCCAGTTTGGGATACCTAGGCAAACGCATGCAAGTAACACACGTTCTGTCTCGCTGTCTCCGTCTCTTTCCCTCGCTGTCTCCCTCTCCCCTCTTTGCCTCTCTCGCCCGCTTTTTTACGAACAGGACTCGTCGTTACTCGAAGACCAACCCCCTTTTGGATGGGAGGATGCGAAGACCGCGATCGGATGTCATAATGAATGCCCTTTTACCACGTTGGACCCCTGCTCGAGCGGTTAGAAGCACTGGTTCTCCAAGCTGACCGTTGGCTGATCAATCCGCTGATTACCTGCGTTATGGCCGTGGAGATAGTGAGGGTCACAGCTCCACGTTGAGGCATTTTGGCTTCATGATCGGTAACTGCTGCGCCTATGTTCCGAGGGGTGGATAATCCAAGTTCTGGCCACAAGTTTTACGTTCCGCTCATCTTCTAGGTCTTTTTTTGCCTAGGTGACTCTCCACGCAGTCATGCTGTGCGTGATGTTTAGGGGGCTCCTGCAGTGGGACATCCGGTCAGTGGAGCAAGTGTGTGAGTGTGCATGCATTGTCTTCTAATTGAGTTAGGTATAGGCAAGTAGGTCTTTTGCTTCATGCGCGAGGACGGCCACTGTGGTGGTTTATAGTGCAAACCAGTCTATGCTGGATAACTGGGGCATGCGTGTGTGTGTGTGTGTGTGTGTGTGTGTGTGCACGCAGGGGTGCGTTTGAGTTCCGTCCAGGGTGGGTTCGTTGTGTGTAAGTATGCACGTTTTGCGTGTGCGTGTACACGTGTGCATAGATGCGAGGGTGCGGGTTTAGAGAGAGAGAGAGAGAGAGAGAGAGAGAGAGAGAGAGAGAGAAACTGGTGCTTGAAGATCTGAGTCAGAAGGGCCAGTTTAGGCAAAGTTTGAACGAGTCCTGGACTCCCTTAACTTTGGCCTGCTGTGCATGGACGAGCATGGTTTAGTGGAAACAGTATGGATCTGTTTGCGAGTGCAGGGAAGTTGGTTCTGAACATGAAAGGGCTCCTACATGCAGGTTCGTTAGTTATCAGGGGTAAATGCGAATCTAGTGTATGTGAAGACGATGGAACTCTTTGACTTCATGAACTACGTTTTACTGGAAATTTATGCATTCCTAAGCTATCTTTACATGGCCTTTTTCATTCACACCACTTCTGTCTCTCTGTCCGTGCCGGCACAATGCCACCTGTTGTTGATTCCGGAAAGAGGCATGTGTGTGCTCTTTTCTGTGTTATGTGTGTGAGTTTGTGTTTTTTTAACCGTTGACTGTACTCTTTATTTCCTCACTAGCACTGGACCCACTAGAGCTGAAAATGTAATTCCCCGTCGTTTAAAATCCCCAAAAGTTTAGTGCAAGGAAGTTGTTCCTGTCTATTGGATGTTGCTTATGATCTGTTGCCGAATGATCAGAGCCTCTTTCCCGAGGGTGGGTTTGGTGACTCTCAGTGGCCCAGTGGGTAGTGGTCGTAGGCCTCCCTGTGGATGTTGCACCACCATTGTTTGTACTGTCTCTTGGCAGTGATCCGGTTGGGGTAATGGGACTTGTCGGGGTCTTAATTGCCTTCCACTGGCTGCAGTAATGTCCACCTCTCTGCTGATTTTGTCCCCGCTGCTTTGGAATAGTTGCTGACGATCGAATGCGTTTGACTACGTGGATTATATTACCTCGGGGAAAAGAGGTTGGCTACTGTGTGCACCGCGGCTCATCTCATACTTGGGAGAAGGCGCTTGCGTAGTCATTACCTACCGATTGCTGCGAAGAGCTTTGACCAGTAGGAAATGTCAGATCAGATACTGTCTTGCTGAGGGCTATTATCCTGAGGGAGCATACGTACATTACGTATCAGGGTCGACCTTCAAGTGCAGTCCCATCTATCATAGTGTGTGGCCGTGGTAGTCATACTGGCAAGAGATGATCCCAATGGCTCACGTACGTGTACCGTGCACCTCATGGGCTGAAGCCCTTTTGCAGCTGGCCAGTCTGAAGTGGCTGCCACTGGTCCTTAATCGGATGTGGCATCTCAACTTTTATCCTCGTGTCACTCGGTAATACTATCGAAGACTTTGGTTAGAGGTCCGCTTGAACTCAAGTGTGTGGGTCTGGATATTTGCGCCGAATCTCTAAAGCGCATAGGGGCTTTCAACCCCGCTTGCAAAGGTGTAAATGTTGAACTGCTGCTGGCAGCCAGTGATCTTCAAATTGTCCTTCTCTCACATGCCACTTTCCTCGTCTCTCTCACGCGGCTTCCCCTCCCCTCTCCCCCGCCCCCCCCCCCTGCCTTCTCTATGTTATCGGCCTAGGATGCTGTGTTGCGGGTTGCCTCTTTCTTTGTGAGGGGTTTGAAGTTGTGTGCCGGGTGCTTGTGTTACTGCCGAGCGTCAGAAGTTGTGTTCTTTGTCTTCGGTTGGATTGCAAACTTTTTTCCTACTCCCACGATAGAGTTGGTCAACGGTGGGTATATCCTTACTTAAAATTATGTGTTGGACTTGTGGAGAACGACTGCTTCCTGGGTTTTACAGTGGGGCTATATCCATACTTACATGTTGGAGTTGTGGAGAACAACTGCTTCCTGGGTTTAACAGTGGGGCTATATCCTTCCTTACACTTATGTGTTGGACTTGTGGAGAACGACTGCTCCTGGGTGTATCTGTAAAGGAATGAAAAGCTCGCTCAGAATGGTTCTGCCGGATTGATTGTTACCTTTCTGATGTGATCGGTGGGCACCATGAGCTGCAAGGCGAAATATTGACGTTTGACGAAGTAGCTGGTTAGCCGGGGCTGTGGAGTGGATGGTGGTGGAGCGTCTGGGTCTGGCAATTGCCAATCGAAGTGTGGCGGGGAAGGTTGTTGGTAGCATATAGGGGTGTGCCTTCTCTCTTCTTCTTGCAAGACTTAATTCAGGTGTATGGGCTGACCTGTTGTGTTCTTTGCATTGTTGCTGTCTCTTTCTCTGACATTCTCTCTGTGAGTGGGCGAAGAGAAGAATATGAGGAAGAGGAGGGAGAGGAGGAAGAGGAGAGGGAAGAAGAGGAGGAAGAGGAGGAAGAGGAGAGGGAAGAATAGGAAGTGGTGGAGGGAGCAGGAGTGAAGTGAGATACAAAAATGACAATGAGCAGCATGTGAGGGCGACTCTTGATGGGGGTGGGTGGGAGGATAGGGACAGTAGATATCCATCGCTATGGCTACTTGTATGGTGAGGGAAAAAGGAGGTAGATCGAATGGTTTGGGGTGGTGTATGAAATAAAATTATGGGGGTTAGGGATGAGGAAGTGGATGTAGTGCCGGTGACAGAATGGGGGTCTGGGAGGACGGTGATGTTGACGACGTGGAAAGGGTTGTGAATCCTGATGACAAAGAGCTGACGTCAACAGGAGGACAGAATTTCAAATGGAAGTGGAAGAGGAGGGAGGCTGTTGAGGGTGATGTGTGCAATGGTGGTCAAGGTAGGCTTCTATTGCCCTCCGCACTCATTGTGAGGAGGAATGAAGGCAAATCATACAGGAAGGGATGGAATGTAAACGACAAGCCGCGTGTAAATTTAACATGAAGGGCAAAGAATCAGGAAGAAGCATCAAAGATTCGAGCGGTACACTCAACAACCATGATAAACCACTTTTACTTCCTCACCGCCCCCTGCCCCCTCCCCCCCCCCACCTCGTGCCCGCTTGCCGTTTTCACTTGCACTCCTGCCAAGGAGGTCGAACTCTGTTGGTTGGATGCAGGCTTGGATTCGGAATTCGTTTGATATCTCCCAAATGGCCACTGTGACGTATGCAACCCCTTGGATCTCACACACACCTGTTTTCCGGGAACAAGATGTCACTTGGGGCCCATTTGGTTTTTGACTTTCGACGCTCAAGTGATGCTGATGTCCCAATTTCTCGTGCAAGATGAGCATTCTGGTCCTGACCTATGAATTCTGAGTTGTTCTGATTCCTCGACAGGGCACCAGTCCGTCTGGGACAACCAGGTTGGACGGCTGAAGTATCGGCTGCCGTATATCTGTGGAAATGAACACAGAGAAGGAAGGGAAGAGGAGATCGACCTGCCAATAATAGAGAAAGGATGATGGAGCAGGAGGAGTGTGGTGAGGGGAAATGCGAGGCGGAAGCAAGGAGAACACGAGGAAGGGAAGGAGTTGAGGGAAGGAGAAAGAAGATGAAATGGAAGGTCGAGGAGCAATGCCAGGAGGAAGCGAGGAGAAAGATGGAACAGGAAGAAAGCGGCCAGAGTTGGAAGGAGAGGGAGTGTATATGGGAGGAGTCTGGGGAATGGGGAAGAAGACCAAGTGGAAGGCGAGGACAAAGGCCAGGCAGACTTGCGAGGAAGTATGCGGAACAGCAGAGAAGAAGGGGGGAAGGGAAGGTACGAGGGAGGAAGAAGATGAAGTGGAAGGGGGCAATTCTGGGGGAATAAGAATTAAGGTGGAAGGGTCAAATAATTGGAAATAACGAGATGAAGGGGGTGGAATAGGAGCAATCGGAAGGGCATGGGTCCCTCGTGCACGTGGGGGAAATGTGTACGGGCAAGGAGTCTGAGGAGGGTGGACGAAGATGAAGTGGAAGGAGAGAAATTCCTCCTGGATAATCAGGATGAGAAACGAAACAAAAATTGTGGAAACAGGCCACGCAAACGCATGCGCGTGTGTTTGGGGAGAGGGTTGTCGGGCAGGTCTTTGATAAACGGGATGGCGGAGGATGGCCGTTGCTATTCGAGCATCGTACTAAATACCTATCTTCGACCGGCGTAATCAATCATGATTCATCGCTGAGTGCTTGATATCATTACCCTGCTTCTGATCTTCATCATTGCTGTTTTATCCTTCTTCCCGCTTTTATTCATCATGATTTATCACTGTAATGTTTGTCGATATGAATGACCACACACCTTTCAGTTGTTGGCAATGGATAGTGTAGTCGTCATTCATTGTGCATTCTCGTGACCGAGTTATTGTCATATTCACTACACTCGCCATCCGTGGTGTTGCCTGCTTGTTAGCCAGGTTCCCTTTTTATGTCTGATAATCATACCTCCCTCGCTCTGGTCCACGGTTGGTATGATGACCGTCCTATCATTGACAGGCTGTTCGCCAATCTCTTGCACGTTTCATCCTATGATATGAACGTTGCATGTGAGAGCCATGCGTGTCTGTCTATGTGTTTATCTTTCTCGACCACAATGAGCAGGGTTGTCGTGACACCAGTGACAGATGGATTACGCGTTTCTCCCACATTGTTTTTTTTTTTTTGGTTATGATGGCTGTGTTCTGCTTGTGGTCCCGGTTGAGCTTTGACCATGTCTTTCCAACTGACTCTCATATCAATTGGAGGAGACTGTAGAAAGCAGAATGTCTACGGCATTTCTAACTTGGGTCTCTAGCGCTTCCCAATTCTTTGCGGTCACGGGTCAGCGCGGCGCTCTTCTTTGCGGCTCTGTTGTGTCTTCTTCGTTTCCACAAATATGCATCTACAACAATTCTACGTGTAAGGGACCGGCGTAGTTCGAACTGTAATATCTGCCACATTTTTGTGATGCGCTTTTTTGTCCCTTGCAATGGGTACGGTCTCTCTGGTGCAACCAGGCCGGATGGGTACCACAAGCCTTTTTGGGCTTTCGGCAATGCTGCTCATGGGTGTCATTATCGACCTTGAGTTATCCTTTAGGGAGCCTTTTCATATCGAGTGACGAGTATGAACCCAATGACATCGGTCCTCCGAATTGAATATCGGTCATCTGTGTAAAAGTTGACCTGTCGGTTGCATCGCAATGGCAACAGATAAGTTTGAGCCCCCAGCAGAAGGTGCTGCCAAGTTGTGAAGTCTCAAGTGGCCAAAACCACGTGACATCTGAGCACAAGAAGTTAGACTCTGCTACCGTCGTCACCAGAATAGAACGCCCGGACATTATAGCCGTATGTATTTGGGGAAACTTTCAGTATAGATGGAGCCATAATGACCGGTGCGTTTAATTTGGGTGAAGACCGTGTGATGTGTGTTAAATTTGCTTCACTCTCTGGCCCCCTTTTCCGTTGTTCTCCTCACAGCAAGATGGAAAGCCCGACGCTTGGTGATGATGTGGGTGACCATTGAACATCTGAGCATGAGGAGCCAGACTCTTCTAGTAGCAGCAAGGCGAATGGCGTTGTCGTGTGACCTGTGTCAAACTTGCTTCACCCTCTGTCCCCCTTTTCCCTTGTTCTTCTCACAGCAAGATGGAAAGCCCGCTCGGTGATGATGTGGGTGACCACTGACTGAACGTCCGAGCACAGTATCACCAAGATGAATCACGTTGTTGTGTGATGTGTCCAATTTGCATCGCTCTCTGCCCTTCTCACAGCAAGATGGAAAAGCCCGGCGTTTGGTGACGATGTGGTGGGTGCCACAAGTCATAAGTAGCGAATAGATTAGCAGAGAGATTTCCAGGCTCGGCAAGGGAAGGGGCGGCACAAGTATGTGTGGTTCAATATCAAGGGCTCTTTCGTGTGAAGCGGGCATATGAAATTCTCTTCGGATCGTCTTGCAGAGCCAGGAAATTGTTTTGCAAGTGATGTATAGGGGTCTCCATCAGGAATGTCATAAGTTCCGTGCCCCTCTGCATGGTCTCACACCCTCGGTTGCCTGCATCTGCCGGCCCTCACCCAAACTTGGACCCGAATCCGGCGAGCGACGGACCATAGACGTTACGCCCGCGGCTGATGCTGCATAATGGGATAGGATATTAACAGAAAAAGTTGTACGTGTCAATAAGGTACCTAGACACAGCTGTTTTATGCATGAGCACAATGGATACAAGTCCATTTTTTGTGGCTGTGAATTGATGGATCGCATCAAACAGTTTGTGGCTGCGAATTGACGGATCGCATAAAACAGTTTCTCTCTCTGTGGCCAATCTTGCTGTATTGAATTATTGTGCTACCCATGGTCAAAGCCATTTCCGTTTGTCAGGGGGGCTTTATACTTATTGCCCACGTTTCAAGACGTTGATTTTATCCACTGGAATGCGACTCTCGACATTTGCATCAGATCCTTCTTATGAACAGTCGATCGATTAGCGTTGGCGCGAGACAAAAGGCCCAGTTAGAACCTCTGTGGGGACTCTCTGTCGAGGAGTGGGCCTTGTGAATAAATGA